GGTCATTGCGTCAAAAGATAACAACTTTCAATGTATATGTCAAGTAAAGCATTAAGGAAACTTGCGACGAATCATTATAAAGACATTTCTAGTTCGTTCATGCAATTTTTCACTAAATCAGACAAAAATTCAATTTTTCATAGGAACCAATGAACAAATCTAGTAAAACCAAAAGCTCTAATTATTAGGAAACAATATTACTCATGTAAAATTATTCTATTTACTAATTTAACACAATATAAGTTCAAATATATCAAAATAATCCGTAAAGAATGAAGCAGAATTCAAAGCTACGCCAAGTGCTAATGTCGTATGATTTATTTCTGTCAGTTGTCGATGAGCCTAAATATATGAATGAATGATGCGTGAAAACCTGAGATGTCCATCAGGAGTGTGGCTAAGGCGGTGGCTGTTGGGCGTAGGGGGATATGTGTGGGCTTTCACTGCATCTATTTACGCTCACACTCACATCCCTCTCTGCAATGTAAGAATACGTTTCCGTTTAAATACAATGATAGTTTTGATGAATTAAGAAATTGTTGCAGGAATAAATGAGAATTTCGTTGTTAAAAACAATGTTACATACATTGGTACTACGATATTCTACCAGAATACTTTCGTTACGCCCAATAAGAAGTACAAGACTCACGATGGGATGGAATTCAACGGGTTGAAGAGCAAAAAATGGTGCGGCGATTATTTTTGGCTGGAAGACTTTTTGTTGAATCGGCATACACCAGAACTAGGACGAGTACTTTTGATAAAATTCAAGTATTTTCATTATAATTTCTATGCCATTTGACATAAGTCCATGCCTAATAGGCTGATTTTATTCGTCTTCTTAAGATCTACAAAATACCTATATGTACTTTTCTGACGTGAGCTCCATTCAACGAAAACCTGTGTCTAAATGCAGGAAGTACGTGTAGTTTTAGGCACGATTTGCAATATTTCTGCTGTTAGTCAACAGATTGAAAGGATGGGTGTACATCATTTTGTACTGTGAAGAACGCCAAGCAAAATGACCTTATATGATTTGTGTTTCATACAAGATGTAAAGATTTTATTGAGAATGCACATCAAGTATTATACAAGTACCAATCCTAGCTCTGACGTACACACTATCAATTATTCGCTCTTATGTGAATAAACCTTTCTGATAGCGTTGATGATATGTGTCGTCTTTGTTGTGTGCAAAGGTAATATTGTTTTTCTGATGTGCTTTGTAAATAGTGAGATTGTGATAGCTGCTATGTAATAATTCATAGACAGCATTCGCACCGATGATTCCTCCACTAACAATAGTAGTTTTGGCCTGTCTGTTTTCCAACGCTGAAGCATATTTGCGGTTGCTTATCGTGCGTGGGTTGACGTGCTCGCAAGTTACCAAAAATTATACATGCATGAAAGTGATCGCATATCTCAACTAAATTAGAATATTGATGGATGATGTAGGACAAGAGATCGGAAATACTCGATTGATTTCTTAGAATTTTGCTAATTGAAGATGACATAAGTACTTAGAAAGAAGAAAGAAAGCAAAGTTATGAACATTCTCTTTCTCTCATGTGGCATAGTCAACTGCATATTCTATGTTTTTCTTGTGCTTTAAAATGCATTTCGTCATATGCTACACAGCATCTCTTATTTCGATGCAAATGTCACTGAGAGACAATTCATCTGATGAAAAATGATCGACTTTGAAAGTGGATGAAGGCATATATTTTATTTTGGTATACAAATTTTTGAGTACTGAAGAGAAATCGATCATCGATACTGATGCATCACTCACACCGTCAATGATGATTAAATTTGCTCAGATTTGAAAATGAGTTAAGATTTGAATGGAATAATGTTGATTATCTTATAAGCTTTATCGGCAACGATAAGGCACATGGCTGGATGAAGATGTGGAAGAGCCACTCTTGAACTATTTTTAACATCTGTTTCTTACATGTAAATCGATTTTTACGTGACTAAACGAGAAAATTAGATTTTGACATGTGCGCGTCATTTTTATCCGAGGAAACTGACGGACGAGTATTGGCTATTTTTACGATGCTTAAAAGGCTGTTGCAGACTTCCAAGAATGCGCAATGTAATATAAAAACTCAATTTCAGACATTAGTATCGGTTTGATCTTTTCTTCTTCTGTGCGTCTTCTAACCCCAGTTGCTCACTGAAAATATATATAGTTTCTTCATGGATTCCATGAAATCCTTTGAAACTTTGCTTCTCTTGCTTTTGCCTGAGAAGTAGTTTTGAAAATCCAATTTCTGAAAAGTGTTATTTTTTTTTTAATGATCTTTCTTCATCAAGATACACGAAACAAACCAATTATACAGCGATTGGATGAAAGTCAGACAAAGTTCGTTGATCGAATGGACGAAGATTCACAGCGGTGGAAGAAGTGATCAGGTAAGTAGACCTTGGTGCATCATAATGTTGTGGCGGTAAGAGATGTCCGACGTTCTCCGGTTTGGTTGGCGAGAGAGGCAACAAAACGGTGTTTAACTATTTAGTCAGTTTAGCTGAATCTGGTTGAAAGAGATCTCGAAAACGAACATATTTCAAACAGAACATTCGAATACCTAACAGAAAAATATTTCCATGCTTGGTATGCGAACAAATTTTTTCACTTACCGAGCCACCTTTTTGGAGCGAAAATTTCTGAGCAAAACGGGTACTACTAGTTTCTTTGGTAAATTGGCGGCATAGACAAATTCTTGACGGCAAGATTTACTCTCAAAGTATTGGTTGGAGAGAAGACAAACAATGGCCGATGCACGTTCCATTCCTTCGACAATCTATTCTCATAGATCATTGACAGTCTGACAACGAGTTCAATCGATCCATATCTCAAACGTGTCACTGTATGTCGCAAATAATTCTAGTATTCGGCTACAAAATACATTATTGCCATGATAATAACTAATCATGATCCATAGTTTCTCAACCGTTCTAAAATTTCGAAGATAAGAAAGTTTCAATAGGCAATCATTATGTTTCTCTAAGCCTTCTAATCGATCCAACTGATGAATGTTACCAAGTTCCTGAAATGTTATGTCACTCTTATTGTGCAAATTGAGGTTGTGTAAAATGCCACTGGCAGCTTGTAGAACTGTTTCCATCGAGCGAGTTTTGTATTATTCGAGAATTTCTTGTCCGTTTTCATTATCGAGTAATCTCCGAATGGTCATAATTAATTCTTCATAATGTCCCAATTCCTGTGCGTAGTTTGCTTGAAATGTAATACTCCAAAGAATATTCAAGAGAGCGATCAAAGTAAATTGTTTCAAGCGATCAATTTCTTTAAAAGTATTCGCAAAATTCATAAATAAGGAGATAAATAAACGAATGATTGATACTATAACCGATGATGGTTCAGTTTTGGCAGGACAGAGAATATAGTCTAATGACATTCTTCCACTACGAATATTTTTACGAGAATATCCAATGGTTCACTGACACGAAAGCTGTCATGTTGAAAATGATCGCCTTTCGCAGCATCCACGGCTAATTGGAGTAACTGATTGAGTGCTGCATTCATCCATTTCTTATCCTGTTTGATTTGTCCTGGCTTCGATAGAAGTGCTAAGGTCATCGTAGTGATCAAATTGTGCGAATCGACTTTGTCTGTTTTTCTTTCAAAAAAGAAGAACAATACATTCCCAATCCTCGAATTTAGAAAAAAAAGAGACTCACTTACATATTCTGGTATTCTTTGATCACTTGGATCACTTCAACTTGATTGAGAGGCGAGAAATATTGTGAACAACACTAATTACTGGTCGTCAACCTTTATTGTTTAGCATTGCTGCTTGTCCAAGCCAACTAGCAATTTTCTTCGCCAAACCACACTTTAATAGAATCGGCATCAGTGCTGTTCGATCTGAGAGATTCCAAAGAATGAACAAGATACATTCATTGAGAGTCCCTAAAGAATAATCTTTCTGCATCATAGTGGCCGAGTGTTCAGACATAGTTCGATCGAGACGTTCAATAAATGCCGTAACTAATTCGGCGTGATGATCAATAAATAGTTGTTGTTCAGTCGTCACGAATGACACAAATAGAGTGCTTTGAACAGCGATGTATAGAAGTTGTTGTACATGAACAAAATAAATACGATTTTCAATAGTTGAAGCCACCGATTATAAATGAAAGCGAACATTATTATGTCATATTTTCATACCAGTAATAATCTTAAACGTGAACTACTTTATTTTCGTCGTTCCATATTACCATTAAAAGAAATAATTAATTAGAACGCATCTCGACAAAATCTAGAGTGCGAATTAAGATGCAAAGCACTCTTGATGTTTGATTTTTTAATTTCGAACTATGAATATATCTCGCATAATGCTATATAAGTTTGAATTGAAAAGCTTTTCTGTTCTTATTAACCTTCATCCTCTAAAGTTATGCTTTTCTCCTTCATGTTGTTTAAATATGAAGAAAAAGTTTTGATCCAACTAGTAAATGAAAAAAATAAAAGATCTTTTCAAGAAAACACATCGATGAGACTATTACTACAAGACTTTTACCAATACCTATCAACTCTCTTTTTTACAGGAATATACAGTGTACTGATCATTTGATTATCTCAGCTAATCATGGTCTAGAATCATTTGTTCTTACTGCTGACTCGATGGCTGTTTTCATTTTAATAATCTCAAAACTCAACAAAAAAACTAACAAAGTCTACAAAAATCTCTCATACTGTCGAGATAATTATAATTAGATGGAATTGGTCTTTACGATCAATACAATAAATATGAACCAACATACGATCAAAATACAAGAAAAAAAATGAACCAACATGTTGTCTGAAAACTTTCGCGTTACCTGTAAAGATAAGAAACATGATGTACATAAGCCATCTAGCGTATCATAATGTTATATATTCACTTTTGATAAATTCCATTTGTTTTTCTTTTCTTCTGAATAGACTAGATTAGTCACGAAACTATTTGTCATTATTCTTTTTTCGTTTAAACATGAATGCAAGTTATGATTTAACTACAACACCAAAAACAATCAATCGAAGTAAATATATTGAATCATTAATGGATTTTTCTACACCAATGAGTACAATATCAAACCGTTGGATAAGTAATACAACGATAAAAAATTTCAATGAATTTGATGAGAAAATTTCTTCTGATAATGTTATTAATTTGCCAATAATCAACGATAAAATCATTCATATTAATAATAATAATAATAATAATAATAATAATCAAATAATTATTGATCAACTTTTAAAAAAATTTCATGAACATAAAATTAATTTTCATAATACACAAAATTATTTGAATTTACTTGATGATCATTTACGTGAAATAACAACAGTTCTAAATCAATTACAAAATTTCTTAGAACAAAATTCATCACTTAAAACAACAACAGATCAAATAGAAACTCGTTTACTACAAATGTCAATTAAACGAGAACAAATTCGTACAGCAATAAATAATTTTCATCAATCACCAACAATAAATCAAACACTTAATGATATTATTCAACAGGTATACATACAAATTTCTTTTATTTTTATAATCAATTGTTTTTTTTTTCTAGATTTCACCACGTACATCAAACATAACAATAACAACAGATCCAATGATTTATTGTACTGAATTAATTAATGCTGTACAATTAAATATAAATCAAAGAACAAATTTAATCGAACGTTTTTATCATGAACAAAATCGTATAAAACATCGAACTGATGATTACTACGCGAAATTTAAACAACGACAAGAATTTCTTATGCAATTAGTTGAAAAAATTATTGAACAACAAAAAATAAATGAAAAATATATTGAAACAATAAATATTAATAAACCACAATTTAATAAACATAGAGAACAATTAACTGAATTGAATAAACTTACTGAAGAATATCAAATACTTCAAGATGAAAATCGATTATTAAAGCATAGAGCAAAAGAAAATATTCAAACACTTTATAATTCTATTAATCAAGTTACAGAATAAATTTTCTTTTTATTATTTACTTATTTTAATAAACTAAAACTTATTTTATTTGAAAATGAATGTTATTTTAAAAATGATGCTTAATCTTTTTTTTTCAGCTGTAAATTGAGATATAAGCTGCCGCTGCCGCGATGTAAAAATAGATACTTGATTTTTAGAGCTTTCCTACGTCACAAATCAGTTTTTAGAGATGTTGCCATCTGGTTTCTTGTCAATATACTCTCTACTATCGTTTTTGTCTCTTTTTCATTTCAAAATTTCTCAAAAATAAGAAAATTTTAGAAAAATGTTAACCATTGCCATCGAACGATCCATCGACTGACACCTTTAGCTGTAAAAATTCATTAGTATAATTCATGACTCGTAACTAAGTTCATAAGAAACAATTATGATTTTGTCAGATTGTTTATCGAAAAAGATAAAATGTCTATCATTCATAGGAAGTTTGCTCATAATCAAAACCACAAGAATTCACTTCTTCAGGATATTATCCTTAAACTTAAGATTTTGAAATTTAAATAGAAAGCATAATTCTTGAATATGCTAATGTATACGCTTAATTTTTATTCAATTTTTACTTCTAAACTTAAGAATATATTACTAGCGACTTAAATTGATAATAATTCTCTTGATAAATGTACTGATCATCAGTTTAAGTTTATTATTTGAAGGAAACTATAATAATTCTACTAATTATATGCTCAAATACAGTTACTCTTTGTAATTGTTTTGGTTAAAGTTCGATGGCTCCAAAAACATGCAACCGAGAACCGAACGAGAACCAGTAAATCATCAGTTAGATACAAAAATTTTTAAATCTGTATCGAGGGATCTTCACTTTTTCATTCTTGAGATTAAAGATTTCAGTATATATGTATCATATTGTTTTAAGTACTAACATGCGTGACGTCTTTTGTCTCAACAATTCAATAGTGAAAATTTTTCAAAATATATTTAAATTTTTTGTATCTATCTGATGATTTAACGATTTCAGTTTCGGGTAGTTTTTACAACCACCGAACTCTAGTTTTGAAGACATGATATTAGCTACAAACATTTGTGAGCATAATCACCTGATTCAAGCTAATATATGTGATCATTGTTGAATTGATAAAATCTTTTTTTCGTAGAAATTTCATTTTCAATGTTTTTTTTTTGTTGTTGTTATACAAATAAGAACATCACAAAAAGAATATCATAAGAAAATATCAACAAAAGAAAAAGAAATATTCTTGACTAGATAACATAGAATACCAAAAAGAAAAGAAATCGATCATTAAAATAGTTTTCTTTTATCACGAGGAGTTTTTGTTGGTGTTGTTTTTGCTCTACCTCGTCCACGCCCACGTCCACGTCCACGAGTAGTGCCACGTGTTTTTGTTGATGATTGTGTTCGTTTTTGTGTTGTTTTCATCGAACTTCGATCAAAATCATCATCATCATCATCATCATCATCGTCATCATCATCATTACTATTTTCATCATTATTTCTTATTGATTCTGTTATCATAATTTCATCATCACTTGATTTCTCTCCATTAGCTTTAAGACGTTCTTTTCGAGCCATATTTAATAAATTCTTTCGTCTTTTTATAGCTTCATCATAATCAACATTTTGTAATATTTTAAAACGTTTAAGTTCATCTTCAAGAAAAGCTACATCATCATTATGTATATTGTTAACAAGAAATTTCTAAAAAATTAAAATTATTAATTAAAAACAAAAACTTTTTCTTTCTATTAAATAAAATTTTTACTTGACTTTGTTCAATTTGTGCTTCAACCATTGTATTTAATGCATAAATTTCATCTTTGTCAATAAATTCAGTTAATGCTGCTAACATAGATTTTTCATCAAGTAAACGTAAACGATTGTTCTAATATTAAAAAAAGAAAATAATTATTTTATTATTATTATTATTATTATTATTATTATTATTATTATTTCTACTTCTGTTGTTGATTCAAAATATGTTTGAATAGAATCTTCAACACGTTGTGCATGGTTAAATTGTTCATTGGAAATTTTAATAGCATCAGGATCAAGTTTAATTTCATTTGATTTTAATATATTATTATCACGTTTTTTATTTAAGGTAATCATTGTTTTTGGATTAGCAACTTGATCAGAAAATTTTTGAACAAAACGAATATCATTAAATGAATCAAATAAATCAAAACCAGTATAATCAACACGAAGACGAATTAAGCTATATTAAAAACAAAATAAATTAAAATAAGTATTCAAAAAAAAAACAAAAAGAATCGGCTTTTTTACGGTTTTCTTGGTTGTTTTGGATGACCACTATGTTCATTTTGAGCACGCATAAGTAATTCATTTATCTATTTATATGACGAAAAAAAGAAGAGTTTTATTATAAAAAGAAATAGATATATATTTTTTTTCTTACTGTATCTGTTAAAATCTTATCAAGTTTTTGTTCAAGTTTAGTATTTGATAATGTTTTAAGTGCTTTTTCATCAATATGATCAGTTAATTGAATATCAACAAAATAAAATTGTCGAACTGTTTGTAATGGTCGTCGATGCATTTTAAATGTTTTCTTATAAACATGAAGAATACCAACATGTTTTTGTAATTGTTCTCCTTCACTTAAAGATGTTGCAACTGTACTACCTTTTTTATAAATAGAAAAAAAAATCTTAATGTGTTATCAATAATTTGCTCTAATTAGAAAAAAAAAGAAATTTAAAATCAATAGTAATAGGACGAATAATAGTTAATCTTCATGAAAGATTATACTAACATATTCAATGAACAATTATACATGCTAAATTTAGAATATATAAATACGTTGATAGGAAATTTTGATAGCCAGAAGAATTAAACTAGATGCCTTCGAATATATCGATTAGCGCTTTTTTCACCAAACGCTAATGTATGATGATAGTTTAGACGGATATTATCTTAGTATCTACGGATTTTGAAATCTTGTAAGATCTATGACAATTGGATGCTACCACAAATAGTCAGAATACAGAATTCATCGGAATGCGAGAAACTGAAATTGTCGAAAAATTTTATTAGTGTTACAGGAAAATAATTCATAGAAGTCGAGAAAATAACTAACAATCTATTCAAGAACAACGAGAGCAAGTAGTACTTGCTAATCCATATAGGTTTTGTTTATTCTAGAGCTTTCGTCTATTGAAGTTTTCCCTATTTCAAAATAGATATTGTTTTAGTCATTTCGTAACATTTTGATCAATCTAAAAGGTCAATGTCGACATTTGGTTACCGTTCTTTGGCGAGATTCTCTACTTATCCATTCAATGAAATTTCAACTAAAGAAAAAATTTCCTATCGATTAAAAAATCTGTTGAAGATTTAATCAATCTTTTTTCTAATAAAAAAAGAAAAACCTTCTAATAATCGTTTCTTTTTTTCATCATCCATTCATTGAAGAATGTTTCCTATGCAAAATTTATCCTTTACACATTCAAGCTATGAAAAAAAAATCATTATATTTTTCTCAATAGAATATCAAAATGATCAATTAAAGAAAACTAACCAGGTTGAATAACAAAAAATTTTTGTACAGTATTAAATTCTGGTGTAATTCTACAATCATGTTCATGACCCCAAATAACAATATCAAGAAATTCATGTAAAAATTGTTCTGGAATATAATTTTTTGGTCCATGTGGAACACGATTTTGATGTATAACAAATATATTAAACCAATCATCTGGATTATTTGTTGGTCGAAGTAAATTAATTTGATTTTTAAGAAATATTCTATGTAAACGTTCATCACGTATTGCACCTAAACCATAAATAGATAAATTTGTTTCTCCTTTACGAAAAAGTAATGGATGTATATCAATATTTTCTAATGATGATAAATTTCCAAAATAATTAACTAAACCACATGAATTAAGTAAATCAAGTGGACAAAGTGGTGTTGAACCTGATGGATCATCATGATTTCTTTAAAATAAAAACTTTATTATTAAATAATGTTTTTTTTTTTCAAAACAAAAAAAAACCAAAAGTATTTTTTACCCATGAATTGAAAATATTGGAATACCAATATTTAAATTTGGATCTTTAAAATTTGCCCATGGAAATGGATTTGATTGAACAGTTGAAGAAAAATTAATTTTTTCATCACTTATTAATTTAAATTCAATTGTTTTATCTCCAAGACAATATTTTCTTAATAAATTAATACATTCAAGCATAACATGATTTGATGGTTTATTATCATGAAATAAATCACCACCAAGTAAAATAAAATCAACATTTTCATCACGTGCTATTTGAAGACATTCTTCAAATGTTATTAATGAATCATTGGTACGTTCATCATCTCGTTCAGCATAACCAAGATGATTATCTGTTGTAATTAAAATTTTAAAAACATCTTCAGGTGATGTTGGATTACATTCTTCATCAAGATTTTCATTTTCACTTGAAGAACTTGATGAAATAGTTCTTGATATTGGCATATCGAGAACAAAATAAGATTTCAACTAAGTTCTGTTTATTTTCGATGATCCAATCTATAAAAAGAAAAATTTCATTTTTAATTGTAATACACAATCAAACAATCAGACCAGTATTCCATAGAGGTCGTTGTCAAAAAGTACAACTATATTTTTTTTTCGATAGTAATAGTATTTGGAAGTCGATCGATAATTATAAATTAGTATAGTATGTATTGTTAGAGTACAGTCTGATAAATACGTACATTACCATCTGAATATCAGATTCTTCTTCCTATCTAAGAGTTATCCTGTTAATAATATTAATACGTCAAGGAGACCTCTCCCTTTTCAGAGGATAAAAATCAAAAGTTTTTCAATTTGAGGTTTTTCAGTGATAATATAACTTTGAAGTGTTCTCTGTCCAATGCCATATAAATGAAGATTCTCCATTGTGAGTTTGTATTTTTTTTACTAAACCTAACTTTCGAAATCCTTATCAGAAACTTTCTATGCAAAATTCTCCGAATGATAATGATTCTTTCTTATTCCAATGGTGCTGTAACCATAGGTCATGGATCTCTAACATCATTGAATACGGCTAGTGTTCGATCACTTTAGTTGGAGAAAAAAAGTACTGATATGAACACAGGAAAATTCGTTTTTTTTGTTTTTCTCAAAATCAGCTTTTACACAAAAAAGTGCGGAATTGCTCCCATTACTTCGACACAGTACGTTCAATGGAGCTGAAATTTCTTTTACAAGTATTGGATACTGTTTTGAGAAATCTAGAAAGGTAGACACCACAATGTTTGCTCTACTAATCAAGATCTATCTACCCTTAAAGTTTGAAGTATTTCTGATCAATTGTTCTTCAAAAACTCTGGAACGGGCGAAGGTGTCATCTTCATCCAATGCCTACGCCAGCATTAAGTAGAAGTGAATGTCATAATATGAATATTTCAAGAATCCTATCAATAGTTTTTATATGATAACAGACATTTAACGTGAAATTATTGTATCATCAATCATCTATACAAACCTTTTCAAATAATTTTATACCAACCGTAGATCTTTCAATGAATTTTCCTCACTAACATGCAACAAATAGATCTTCAATTCTTGTCATAGTATAAGTTCAAATCTCCTTGCTACATAACGTCTATCAAAAACTAAATTAATTTTATGTTTATTTCAAAAATAACTAAACGTGTTCATTTCAAAAACATAATTTTATCATATGCTTATAACAGATTTATTCAAAAATACTTTTAATTGAAAGCATACAAAGAACCAGTCTATCAAGAGTTTCTTCATCTATAATGCATTGAGAAATCAGAAATCTGTCAAAACAGTATCAAACTATAACACATCTTATTTGCTAAACATTTACCATGAAGAATACTTGTAAAATGACTTATTCCACATATCATAATATATGAAAAGTTTCTTCTATTGACTGATGAAAACCGCAAATGACTAACTGATATGATTTTCATCATATTCTTTTTTACAATTATCATTATTAAATTATCACGTCAATATTCATTTATTTCAAAAAATTTACTTAAAATCATATCAAGTTCCACTAGAAAATAGTTTAATTATTCAAATGCTTTATGAAGTCATTTCTATAAACCACTGCTGCAAATACGTCACTTCTGATACAATACTATTTTTTGATGAAATAAAATATGGTTAGAAAACGTGCGAACTATAATAATCAACATTTTTCTCATTCGCACACATCCATTATCATCTTCTTTTGTTGACAGAAAAGCAAAAAAAATGTGTGTAAAACGAAAGAAAGAAAGAACAGAAAAAAAGAATGTAAGATAGAGAAAGAAAAAGCTGAAATGACAACAACTGAGTACGAGTACTCGCGAATATTCTACAATGTACTCGTATTCAATTACCCATCCTATATATATATACATATGTGTGAGTACATGGGTCTAATCAAATATTTCAATGTTCAACTGCGATTATCAAACTCTCTCAATACTTCTACAAATCAATGGCACTTTTTCCAATTCATCGTTATCGTCCTTTTGACGATCCATTTGATCGATTCTTTGGTGATCAATTAGATTTTTTCGATCCATGGTATAATTTTGATACATTACCATCAGCTCTTTCAATTCGACCAAATACATTTCGATAAATTCATGAATCATATCGATTAACACATTCATCAAATAATAAATCAAATGACGGCAAAAATCTTACACCAATATCAAGATCATCAAATGCTGAAAAATATCGTGTTCAATTGAATGTAGCAGGCTTCGATCCAGAAACAATTAGAACAAAAGTTGAAGGTCGAAAAGTAATTGTTGAAGCTAAACAAGAAGATCGGCAACCTGATGATGACTATAATATTTGAGAACTACCAAAAAACGTATGAATTACCTGAACATGCTGGTAAGTAATAAAAATTTAATTTTTTTATTAAATATAAGTATTCATGAATGTTTTTGTTTTTCATATAGATCCAAAACATTTAGCTTCCTATGTAACTCCAAATAATATGCTTGTCATTGAAGTACCAATTCATAATCCAGAAACAGAACGTCGTATTGCTCAAGCTAAAAATGATAACCAAAGTTTAGCACAATTCGGTCAATATCGTGATCTGTTATTTGATTATGTTGGATTTTTGGCTGGTTCAGATTTTCAACCACGTATTGTTGATAAAGGTAACAATCAAAAACAACTTGAAATGTCAATTGGAATGAAGAATTATCGACCAGACGAAATTAAAGTATCAGTTAAAAATAATGAATTAATTGTTCAAGATGAACATAAACATAAAAATAAGAATCGTTCAGAACGATCATTCTTCTTTAAATCAACAATATTACCACCTGGTACACAACTTGATCAATTACAATCAAGATTAACTGATGGTGGACGATTGAAGATTGAAACACCTTATATTGAACAAAAGGAAGCTACAAAATCAATTGAAAATCCGAAGAAATAAAATTAGAAATGCATTTGTCAGAGACATAATCATATTGTTTTTGCATTTTATTGTATAGTTTTTGTTAAAGTTTTATTTTTTTTTGTCTTGTTGTTTACTATTACATAAAATAAAAATAAAGCAAAGTTCTAAATAATTTCTTTTTTTTGTGATTTAATATTGACAATATATATTCTCCAAAGAAGGATCGAACTATTTCGAAATTATTATTTATGATAGCTTGACTTATCGAAGCAAATATTTTCAACGAATTTCAAGCATTCGTTATTTGCTTATTCTATTGATATTTCTTGTTCAGTAGACGACAGTCTATTGAGTTTTCACAATCTACTCTTGTCATGTTTTTTTGTTTGTTAACAGATATTGAAGATTAATTATTGAATTGATTGACTAGACTCATATGAACATTATTGTATGGCAAAGATAAATAATCTATTGGTAAAATAAATACAATGAGAGCAAGAAAGAAAAACGAGAATATCGAGAGAAAAGGATGTGATGAATATGTATTCAAAGAAAAAATAATACTAATGATGCAACTGTTGAAACATTATACTTATTGTCGTATTTAAGTTTGATAAAGCATGAAACAAAACGAAGATATTACGTCCATCTAATGAATCGAATATTAAAAATAAAACGAAATTAATAAGTTTTCTAGAAATACATATCGGTAAACAGGCGTGAAGAAAAAGAGAAAAGAAAAAGAAGTAATATAGGTCTAATGAAAAAAAATAACAAATCAAGAGAATATATTTAAAGGTGAAAATTAGACAAATATAGTTGTTAACTAATCGAACATACACTTGTTTCATCAACATGTAAAAGTTTTAGAAGCGCACGTAAGAAATAATTTATTGTTCCAAAACGTCCACTTGGTGCTGAATCATAAAAATGTAAACATATACCAGCTGCTGATCCACATGGATTACCACTAGCACAACATTTTGTTGCATCACCACCTGATGCTAATTGATCTTGTAAAAATATTCCATTTGCTGTAGAAACAATATCTTCAATACTAATTATTTCATCCAAATGAAATCTATAGAAATATTAATCAATAGAATATTAGAAAAAACAAAATAAATATGACGAAAATATAAATTTTACCGATTATCACCAAGGGCTATTGATGTTAATATAACACAAGCTTCAACAATCAACTGTCGATATTCAGTAAATGGTACACGATTAAGAGCTTCTTCAACCCGTAATGCAAATTTAATTTCTTCTTGAGTCATTTCTTGTGTTAAACTGTTATATAGAATATAATCAGCTATTTTAATACCTTTACACTAAAAGAATCAATAATAAAAATATATTTAATGTATAAGACATCTTCATAAGGTCTATATTGACTAGAGGCCGTCGGATCTAAAATTTTTGAACTCGATTCACAGAAAAATTTCAGATCTGGATTCGATCGGATTCTGGGGCCAACCTGCCGATCTCTAATACTGTCGTATAAATATATTAGATACTCCTTAATCGATAATATACATTTTATAAAAATTCAAATTGAATTGTAGTTCTTATTACGATCCATATCAGTAAGAGTTTTAGAACTACAACCATGTTTCATATTAGAGTAAATACAAATTATATATGAGGCATACATACAAAAATCTATTTTTATATATGATTCTTTACGTAAAAATATTTACCTTTTCAAGTGTTTGCCAAACTTGTCCATAGAATCGAACAGGTACACGATTCAAAGCACCATCAAGACGTCGTCGACGAATCCATTGACCATGTTTTCCAACATCATCATCATCATCATCTTCTGATGGATGATCACCCCAATTTAAATGAACACTTAATTTTTTTGTACTTGCTTCTTTAATTTCATTACGTATAATACGCATATCACGTTCTTGTTTAGATAAATCTGCTAATTCTGGTGGTGGTTTTGTTGAATGTTCGGTTATACCAAATTCTTTACCGCTTAAAATAATATGTAATAAACATTTGATTTCATATGGACTTAAATTTAATAAATGATCTGTTGTATCTTCATCAGATGATTGTAATGTACGTTTTAATTCACCTAGCATAACTTGTATAATAAGACCTACACGTATACGTATCATACCAGCAAATAATTGTGGTTCCGTACTAATAAATATATGTAAAAATACTAGTATTTCTTGTGTTAACATAACCATTGTTGGATCATTTCCAGTTGCTGCTACTATTGTATTATATAATTGTTCAAATGTTATCGGACTTGTTAAAACATGTTCACGTGGTGCTGGTGGTAAACCAATCGTTAATTGTTTTTGTTGTGCAAGTATAGCAATTAAACTTTGTGCAATACTTTTATTTTGCATTCCTAACATACCAGCACAATGACGTACACACCACCAAACACGTTGGTTACATGCACGATTATAAAGTTCTTGAATAAGGTCGCGAACTGTTACATGATGTCCATTATGTTCAAATTCAAAGTCAATACCTCTGTAGAAATAAAAAAAAAAAATTAAGTCTTTTTATTTTAGAAATTTCGAAGAAGTTTTTTTATATGAAAATATTTTTCTAGTCATATGTCTTATCATGATCAACTGATAGATAATTTTTTTTCTAACAGATTCTTTTATAAACATTCGTAAAACATAGTTACTAGACATCTCGATTGAAGTCTTTTTTCATATATTTATTTTAGGTTTTATTGACAATATTTCTTCTTTTTTTCTGTAAAAGAATAGAATATCAACGTTGATCTTCAATTGTTCGAGCTTATGATCTATCATCTCTCACTATGTGCGAACCTAATTTTAATATTAATTTAAATTTCAGAAGCCGGAAAAAGTTACTCTGGTACTGTATCAACTATATTTTGAAAACATCATCGTGATCCGAAGACATGGGTATACAAATATTCATGCAAATGACAAAAGTATTTACGACCCATGTCCCACACCTAATTGCAGCACTAGCGGTATGCCGCGGTATTCATAAGAACCGGTGGTAGCGCTGACGACTTTCGGTTTCAACTATAAACGATTACAGAGAGTATTTTCTATTCAAATTCAAATTGATCGAGAAAAAAACCAGTTTCAGAATATGTTTTACTAATTAAAATTTTTGTAGCACCATCTATAATAAAAGATCTATCTCAGAACTGAGACTGATCTCAAAGAGACTTTGTTCCAAACTTGTGAATTTTTTTATGGAAACTAGTCTAGTTGTGTTCTCCTGATGAACAAAGTTTCAGATCACAATTTGAAAAGATAATCGTTTCGAAAACCTGGAGACTCTAGACAAAAATTTCATAGCTTAATCAAAGCATAAATTGTTTTAGAAGTTTCATTAGAACACTACATAGTATCTACAGGCAAAAAATCATTGAAATTCAAAAGAGACATTTGAGGAAGTTTGAATCTAAACACTTGTAATCTGATCTGATGTTAACTTATTCTAAAATTTTCTTTTGATAACAAAGAAAGCTAATTTCACTTACTTATTCATACATAGATAATGTAAAATATCTGCTTGATCTTGTATAGAGGAAGTATGTGGAAGAAGAGCAATAATATCATGTACTTCTTTATCTCTTAATAAATTATCTCGTCTATTTGATGTTGATAATGTATGTTCATCAGCACGTATATGATTTAAAACATTTGTATCAGTTTGATCATCTTGATCATCAGCAGGATTTGAATTAAGAATATTTTGTGCTATAGTACTATCACTTGCATGATGACTATAGCTATAACTACGTTTAACAGCACCACGTATTTGTGCTAATTTTTTAATTCTATATCGTTTTTGATAACGATAATCAATATTTTGATATGATAAAAAGTTTGACATTTGATTAAAATCTGAACTTGATTGTAATAATTCCATTAATTTATCTTCAGGATCTTCATCATCATCTTCACGAAAAACAAAATCAAGACTTGTTACACATGATGTATTTATAAAGTCTTCTAATTTTCCCATTTGTACTCGGACACCATTTGTATAACCAGCTTTTATTTTCTT